GTGCCAAGGAGTATCCCAAGCGCCTAGCATTGCCTGAATCATAAGTCTGGAGTTCCCTTCCACCATTAAGTTCCTAAAACCTTTGTGCTTGGCGTACAAAAGGCCTTCCTTTACAGCAACGGCTTCCACAACAGATATAGTGGCGCAATCTAGATTAAAAGCACCTGTACCGACCGGTTGCCCTACCTCATTCCTTAGAACAAAAACAGCAACCACTTTCTCCATCCTGACTAAACCATCAAAGTTTAATTTAATAAAACCAGGAGGAAAGGAATTCCATTTAATGCGATGCAGGGTATTGGTTTCACCCCAAGAAATCTGCTTACAATTAACCTTGAAGAAGGACAATCCTACATTTGCTACAATCAATATACTCCGAGTAGGGATTCAATTTATACTCCTAAACACTTTATTATTTCTATCATTCCAAATTTGCCAGCAATTAAGAAGAGCTTTACTTAAGTCACTCAAACCACGCAAAAAAAATTTATTAACCACGCAAAATGTTACTCGGTTGAATTTTGGTATGCAACTTTTCATGTATGAGGAGCCAGGAAAAAATCTTTACCTTTAGGAGAATCATTAAGTTCCACAATTTCTTCAGCAACTTATGTCTGTTTACATCTTGACGATTATGGTTCTGGATCCAAGTTGCCGACTTTATTAAAAACTCACCATGAGCCAAAGGACCCCAAATGAAATAATCATTTCCATTTTGTTCAGGAATAGGGATAATACATATCTTCCTAACAATATCTAAATCTAGGACTTGAGAAAGATGAATTATATCCCAACAATTATTAACAATGAAATCACTTACTCTAGCTTCCCAATTCAAAGTTGCCCATTGATTCTCTGGGATAAAATGGAACAATGGGTATGGAGAAACCCAATGATGGATTCAAAATAGAATATCCTTACCATTACCCACATTCCACCTCATACCCTTGTAAATAACATCCCTACTCTTAAGAATGCCTTTCCAAGCCAATGAATGCTTTTGTTTAACTTTACAACTCAAGAAATTATCTCGCTTTAAGTATTTCCTTTTGACAATTTGAAGCCACCAATTATTCTTATTTGTCAATACTTTCCAACCTAATTTGGCTAAGCATGCATTCTTGAAATGATCAACTCTGATGATACCAAGCCATCCATGCTCCTTTGAGGTGCAAACTTTCTTCCAAGCAATAGGCTTTAATTTTTTGTCCCTCGCCCAAAAAAAATCTCTGCACTCTTTATTTATCTTTTCAGTTACTCAATTAGGACATTTGAAACACGACATTACATGATTAGGCATACCAATCAAATTTGACTTAATAAAGATCAATCTTCCTACCTTAGAGAGAGTATTAGCCTTCCAACCAGCAAGTTTTTGTTTAACTCTTTCATTAACTCACACTCATTCACTAGGTCTTTCCAGAACGCAATATTATGAATACCTAAGTATTTACCAACGGTTGTTTTGTGTTGTATATGCAGAATGGTTGTAATCGCAGTTCTTGTATGAGCATTGGTATTACATGAAAAATAAAGAGAAGACTTATGAAAATTTACATGTTGTCCTGAGGCTTTAGCAAACATATTTAATGTGTTCAGAACATTCCTTGCTCCTTTTAGAAGCATGGTAGACCCTACTTCTGCTTTTCTATATTTTTCTACTGTCATTGACAGCACTTTTTTTTTTTTTTTTACCAAACATATTTATTGTTCCAGATTTTTTAATAAGTTGCTTTTTTAGAGCATCACAACCTCAAACCAGCCCTAAATTAATGGTGGTCAATTTCGAAATTCTAACTTTGTCTAAATTTTAAGAGTTCGTTTTGCTCACCAGCTGAGTGACATTACTATCAAATCACAACTCGCCACATGACAAGTCTTGAATATAATTTGTTATTATTTTTTATATTTAAAACTCTCATAATCACTTTTCGTAGTAATTAATATACACCAAGAGATTAATCTAATACTTCCTTCCTCACTCTGTATCTTCCCTTTCTTCATAAGAATATTGGGGGAGGGAATTAAGCCATTAAAATTTTCTTCCCAAATTTTCTCTACCGTCTTCTTTCCCACTTTGTGGCTTCGTAGGCGATGCTAATTGATTTTTCACTGCCATATCTGCATGCCCCCTCTCCGGATCCTATCCATCCGGATCTTCTTTCTTCTCTGGAAGCAAATAGTGAGGGTTTTAGATCTTTGGAAGCAAATAATAGAAGAAAATATTGAAAACCCCAATCGAAGGCTATTCAACAGTGAGGCGTAATGTTGTAAAAGTTTTTCTGTTGAAGAGAATGGTAAATATTGAAAACTTGAGTTTGAGTGTCGTGTTAAAATCTATGGAAAAGAAGTTCGTAGAGAGTTTTGTGACCAGATATCTCCACCAAGTACCTCAAATTGCAAGTGTGTATCATATGGAAACATTGAAAAGAAAGAAGAAGATGGATCCGGAGGATCCAAAGAGAATACCATCCCAAAATTTAATGAAGAAATGAAAAACACAGATTGGGGAAGAAGATGGTAGAGAAGATTGGTGAGAGAGAAGAGGAGAAAAAATGAACCACTAAATTACTCTAATGGTGTATATTACCTAAGTATGAAAAATAATTATGAGAGTTCCAAATATAAAAAATAACGAAAGATTATATTTGAGACTTGCCATGTGACTAGTTTTGATTAGGTTATAGTGCTATTTAGCAATGTCGAGTGACAAGTAAAGCCCCACAAAAGTTTTGCTCCGCCCGCTAACCCAAGATAATAGTTACTCTTCCTTCATAATGGTGCCCCGTGTCTATTAACCAAGATTACCTATGTGTTTAATTTTTTTTTTTGAACAAACAATATTATCTACACAAAGCAAGAGGGGGTGGGGTTAGCCTCACAATGAGCTAGCAATAATGTGGTTCAAACTCGTATTTGATGAAAATCAAACCTAAGACCTCTCACTTACAAGTGAAGAGGATTACCTATGTGTTAAATTAAATCTGCATGGAAAAGAAAATTAATTAAATGATTAAAAAAATTACCATCGTATCAATTAAATAAGGGAACTTTAACAAAAAACTCTTGGTACTGTTCACTTTAACGAAAAACCATATTATTAAACTAAAAAGTCAATCCTAGTACTATTCATTTTACCCTTTATTTTGTCTTTATCACAAAAACTTAAAGTTTTCAAGCTATTTTCATTAGTTTTCCTATTAAATAATTGATTGAATTATGCTAAATTCAATGACATCAATTCCTCTTTCTTTAAATTTTAGGAAAACTAATGAAAATGGTTTGAAAACTTTGAGTTTTAATGATAAGGACAAAATAAAAGGTAAAGTGAATAGTACAAAAATTGACTTTTTAGTGTAAAAATGTGGTTTTTCGTTAAACTGAACAGTACCCATAGATTTTTGTTAAAATTCTCTAAAATTTTTGGACACACAAGTTTCCTCATTTTATTTTTTATTTTTTTCTCTGTTCAGTTTTTATTTTTCTTCTTCCTGTTGTAGAAGAAGATTTATTCTCTTAAAAATAAGGTAGATTTGTGCTGTAGCCGAGAAGAGAGGAATAAAAATAGGATAATTCAATTAATTGTCTAATTAACTTAAATTACTTATAATAAAATATTTTTTTGTCAAATAAAAAAGAAAAGATAGACAATTTGGTCTTCTAGCACAAAATAAAATCATAACTAGTAATTTCGCACAAACCAAATTTGTTTTTTTTTTTCAAACCTCACCCATATATAATCACAGCATCTCTAATTTGAAAAAAAAAAAACACATGTATTTTGTCTCTCTCTTCCTCTCTCACATTTCTCTTTACCATAATATAGTTTATTTAACAAACACTATTATCTACACTTAGGAGTAGAGAGTGGACTTAACCATACAATGTGTTAACAATAACGTGGTTCAAATTCACCTTGGCAAGAATCGAACTTAAGACCTCTCACTTACAAGTAAAAAGGAGTACCACTAGACTATAGTACTAAGTGACAATATAATTTTTTTTTTTTTAATTTTTTTGTTTATACACACATAGTGTATGGGCTTCATTGAGTTGGACATTGAGCAAGAAATAAATGGTATCATTTAATTATTATTTTCTATAAAGTTTTTAATTAAATATATAAGGTAATCATGGTTAGTCAATGGTGCGTTTGGTACGTGGGACGGGACGGGACGGAACGGAACGAGGCGTTCCGTCCCGCGTTTGGTGCGCTAAAAATGGGTGGAACGGGTTGTTCCACGTGACAGATTTTGGGTGTTTTTGCGTTCCACCTCTCCCCCTGGAACGGGTTTGTTCCACGTCTGTGGAACACAATGTTTTACCATTTTAAGACAAATATACCCCATGTCTTTTTCAAAAATTACACCTTCGTTCCGTCCCGTCCCGTCCCGTTCCGTCCCGTCCCGTCCCGTTCCGTTCCGTCCCGTCCGCGTACCAAACGCACCCAAATGTACGCGAGCACCATCCCGACCTGCTAATCAAGAGTCCGTTTGCCCACCCTAGTGACACGATTACGGAGAATAGTAACAGTTACTTTAGATTAAAGGGTGAGCAAAAAGCACTCAAATTCAAAATTTATTTCACTCTTCCAAATTGAAAAAAATATGATGTGCCTAAGTAAATGAAAAATAATAGAAAAATTATTATTTCACTTGTCTTGATGAATTAATATTAAAACACACTGAAATAAAAGAAAAAAAAAAAGAAAGACGTGAACATCATTTTAACCTCTTGAGTCGACGCTAAGAATTTTCTTAATAGATAATGCTAGGGAGACCATACACCGAATGATCAAACTGATTGATGGTGGACAATTTCAGGATAACTTTTGTTGATTTCAAATATCTTGAGACTAAAGTGAGGAGTTAAGTAAACCTCAATAACCATTTTGATTAAAAATCTTTAAAAAAAAAAAAACTAAAACGATAAAACCAACAATAAAGAATAGGAAAAAAAAAACTGTAAAAAGTTAATTAGGATGAAGAGAAGCGAAACCGAGATAGCAAGTTGGAAAAGAGAGGGAGAAGAGAAGAAAGAGAATTCCCCTGCCTTTCAACCTTTTCCCTTTCTCTCTCCAACATCAAAATTGAATTGGGTGCAAACCAAAAACATGCAGGCTCAATTGTGTACTCCTTTGCTTCAATCAATCTGCCCAAACAGGTCTAATGGACCACGCTTTTTAGCCGTATAGAAGTCAAAAACTAACAAACCGATAGTTTCCCCGGAAACTCACACCATGGAAGGTATCGTCGTTTTCCGCTGCATCTGGGATCGTTTTTGAGATATGGGTTTTCTGTTTTCTGATTGATTTACGTTAATTTCTGGTATTGCATTGTTTGTTTGTATTTGCCATTTGGGAATTTGATTATTTTGTATGCATGGGGAGCTTGTTCTTATGGTGATGAGGGTAATCTGGGTTCTTTAATTTTGGGTAATTGATTGCTGGGAAACTTTTAAAAGTGAAGGAAAATGGCATTTTGATCATGATGGTTTGTGTTTCCTACTGTATTTGAGGACAAATACTTAGCCTAATAATTTTTTCATATATTTACAAAGGTTTATGTTTTCCACATTTGCCTTTCGTCACGATTTTTGGGCTTGGGGTTATTAATTTTCTAGTTACTTTCTGGATTTCCTTCGGTCTACCGGCACAGAAGCTCTGGTGACGGCATTAGGCACCACGTTAGGGGGATCTCAGGAAATTCTTGAATGTTTGTATAGATGATGCTAATTCTTAACCTGGGAGGTTGGTTGTACTATATGAGTTCTTCTGTAAATGATACGGTCTCTGTTTAAGGTGTTTTCCAAATGTTCTAGTGCTTGAATAACAAACCTCATGTAATTGAATTTTGTATGATTGTATTGGAAAATCTGTTTTGAAACAAGAAAGTTTAATATGGATAAGTTAGGTAAATGCCGATTATTTTGGGGAGCTTCAATTGAGGGATCCCTCCAATAAGATTATTTGAGGGACACCCTTGTGAGGCTTTGTGGTGTATTTTAATGATCTGAACCATCTAGTTTTTAGGTCTTTCATCAAGTATCGTGCTTTCAAAAAAGTTATTCTAATCCGAAACCATTTAACCACTTGATAAAATGGTTGTCATTTTAGTTGTTTTCTTGAAATAATGTGCTTGTGTATTTTCTTCACTATAATTGGATGTCTTACACTGTTTGGATGAGGGAAATAAACTTGGAATTTGGATAAAAGTCAGAATTTATAAATTGACATGCACCAATTCCCTTGTTTGGATTAATAACATAGAAATTTAGAATTTCCGCGTGGAAAAAAAACTTGGAATTTGGGACCTCCAATTTCCGAAGTTTAAATTCCATGTAAATAGGTGTCATTTCCCAATTTCTATGATTGGGAGTTTAAAATTAACAAATTCCGTTTTCAATTCCATTGTTCTTTTAAGTTAACCAAACAACAAAATTCACAAATTCTAGAAAATAAAATCCCTTCATTTCAATTTCCGTCATTTTAAAATTCCTTAGTAATCTTAAAATTCTTCATCCAAACATAGTGTGATTTTCGATTTGTCTAATTTTTTTGCAAGCATGATCTTTGAATGATGGATAAAAAAGCAATTATGATGATTGAAATTAAAATCTTAAGCTGGCCTCACAGTGTATCACAAAAGATTTACTGAAGTTAGTAAAAGAATAAGAATAAAAAAGCTTAATCCGGTTTAAAAAAAGATTGTGAAACAGGATAATGTTAAGCATGCAACTATGACCTTCTTCCATGTACAAAATGTGTGGAAAATTTCTTGTGAAACAGGATGCTGTTAGGCATGCTACCATGACCTACGTACTTTTATGCAAGTGGCACATTTGACTCATTGGTCCAGGTTGTGGAAGGGACTTGCACAGTACATAAGCCTTTGAAGCAGGAAGTTGCATGGGAGATGTAGCTTTGCAATTATGACCTTCATTTTCCTTTATGAATGGTTACAGGGAATCCCCCCTAGTTTTCCAATTTGAGCACTGGGTGACTAGTTTTGGAAATGTATATTGGATAGGCTTAGTTTAACCTGTAATCATATAGCAGATTCCTGCAACCCAGTAAGGAATTGCATAAACTTCCCACCATTTTATATTTCTCTCAGAAGGTCTTTCTTAGATATGGTGGTTGTCTTATTATTGTTGTCTTAAACGAGAAAGAAAGTTCATGGGAACAACCATAATCATAATAATGGTAATGAAGAAAGTTATTCTTGTGACTATCATTGCTAGAATAACTTTGTAAGAGTTCTCAGTTTCAAATTTGTAATCTTTGATATTGTTGAATCCAGAAGTGACCATTCTTAGTGTGTTTCTCACTCTCTCAGTTGTTTCTTGGAACCCCTTCTTTTGGGGGCTATTGAATTGACAGAGTATTTGTGGAACTTTCTCATTTGGTGTCTTGCATTATTAGTTGGTATTGCATCTTAGTCGTGCTGAGAGGAGAATTTGGGCTATTCAGGATCTGTGGTATTCTGTCGTATGTCCTTTTGTCTTTCATTGCTAGATAATCCGAAGAACCGACCACTTTGGTCCTTGTAATTTCAGTTGGAAAGCCTTGGGTGCCTACCAAAATCTTAATTCACTTGCTTGGCTGGTGGTTCTTGGTGAATTAACACATGTAATATGCCAGAAGAGAAGACAGTACTCTTCATTATCTCCTTGGTGTGCACTAAGAAAACCTGTGGGAGAATCTTCTGACCATGTCGTTCTTTCCTTGTTCTGCCACATCACAAATCTAGAGTAGATTAATTCTGGCTTTTGGTTTGGAATGGGTGGTTTGTGGGAATTGCTACTATTGACTATATTTATTCATCATGGGGAGGGATTTCAAGAAGAGAAATGTCAGCCTGTGGCGATAGGCTGTTTTGGCTCTATTTGGGTGTTGTGGTAGGGACAGAATAGCAAAAGCCTTCATAATAGTAAGGTAGAGTTGGCTTCACTGGTGACATAATAGAATATCATGCCAGGAGATGTTCTTGGAGAGACATTTCTCAAGGCTTTGGTGTTTTGTTTTCTGATTTGGTTGCAGGGAATGGAGAGATGATCCGTTTGTGGAGACAAAAAGATTGGAGATCTTTTATCTGTGCCCTATGTCATGCTTTTTTGGGTTTTCTGTAAAGTTCCTGTTTCCTATTAAATAGAGAAAAACTGGGTTGGGTTAACTAGGAGGAAAGCATCTTTAGTTTCCAATAAGTGGAGATGCCAATAAATCGAAAGGGTTTTTCTAGAAGATCAGAAGTGCAGGATTTGAAATAGTGAAGGATTTTTGTGACTGAACTCAAGCAAACAGGGTTTGGTTCTTGTTGAGTTCTATCTTATTCCACGGGTCGTTGACATGCCCTGATATTAGCCATGTTTATCTTTACCACCACAATTTATAGTTGAACAAATGAAGCATTATATTCATACATAGAAGCTGGTTCAAAAACAATTATGCCCTGATGGATGTTTATTTATCTTAATCATTGATTTCATTTTGTGACTAATGCATCCCTGTTCACTTTTTGGTTGATATTTAGAATCAAATGAACTGCATTCTGAGGAGAATAAAAATTCCCAAGACAACAATAAGAAAAGAAAGCTCAAGACACCAGCCCAGCTTATGGCTTTGGAGAAATTTTATAATGGTAAGGATACTTCTCTTGGCCTATGTTTTGTCTTGCTCAGTGTTGAGCCATCAAATTTCTCAAAAGAATGTTCTTTTTTACTTTTTCCAGAGCATAAATATCCTACGGAGGAAATGAAATCACAACTTGCGGAGCAGTTAAGATTGTCAGAAAAGCAGATATCTGGATGGTTTTGCCACAGAAGGTTAAAAGACAAAAGATTGTCGAGAGATGAAACACAAGGTAATGGACGGCAAGATCGTTCAAGTGGTGTTATTCAGGATCGAGCTAGTGGACTTGGGCAGGACTCTTGTGGCAGCACTAAACATGGAGAGCATAGGTTTATTGATCCAAGGGAAGTTGAAAGTCGAAGGCTTTCTGGGCATGATTTCGCAGCTGCAGATATCACCCGCAATTATAGTAGTCACTATACAGAGAGAGTTGGTGACATGGAAAATACATCTTCAGAAAGTAGCTCGTCTTTACAAGATAGGTTCTTGACTCAAAATGAGGATCCGTATGATGTGGAAACTTCTAGATACCTAACACATACCAAGGGCATGGAAAACATGGGATATAAGCCCTCAGGGTTTTTGAAAGTGAAAGGTGAAGCAGAAAATGCTGCTATTACAGCTGTTAAGAGGCAACTCGGGAGGCAGTATCTGGAGGATGGTCCTCTGTTAGGTGTAGAATTTGATTTGCTTCCTCCTGGTGCATTTGAATCACCGATTATGGATTCAGGCCATGGTACGTCATAATATACTCTGTTCATAGGAACAAATTTCATATTCCATGAAATAGTCGTCTGAGAACAGAAAGATTGTTAATTGTTTTTCGGATCTTGTTACTTAGCTTGTATTGATGCTCTCATATTTTTCTTGTGCGAGTGATTAGTGTGAAGTTTTTATTTTTGTTGTATAATTTCAATCTGCTTTGTGCATAAGGTGTAAACATAAATATTGTTAATTTGAGTGAAAAAAAAAAAAACCATTGAAACGAGATCTTTAAGGTGTGACATTTAATTTTATTATGCAAGTTGTTCTATATGGAAGGCTTACGTTTATCTGCGGGCACTGGGCCTTGTTCGGTGAAGTAGCATAGACATGGAAATTTGAACTTGATGGAGCCTTTAATTTAGTATATTGTTTTATAAAAAGCTCACGAAGATAAAATTTAGGCCTTTGAACAGTGAAACACAAGTGCTTGTGTTTGCTTTCCTATTTTTTGCATTTATTTTTAAAGCATGGGTAGTTAGCATTTGGAACTGTTGCTTTCATGTGTTTCTAATGTTTGATTTGGCTTGATCTTGGTAGTTATGATGATTAGTGGATTGAAGAACTTCTATTTCTTTTAGACTAATAGCATACATTTTTTTGTGTGTATGCAAATGCGAAACTGTAGCTTTAACTGAAATCATTTTCATTTTGCTTCTACTTACTCTTTATATTTTTTTTTAATGTTGATGAAGACGGAATATTGTTGGGGAATATGGTATTGTGGGCAATTATGTTAAGAAGGAATGCAGTGGGAAGTTAAAAAAAAAATAAATAAATATTGTTCATGAAAACACCCAGCTGCTTACTTTTATAAAGTAAAAAAAAAAAGGTAAAATAATAAAGTTGCTGGGTTGGCATTAGCAGTTGAGTCCTGTAGCTGTAATTCTTGAAATATTAGATGTACATGGTATTCTGAAGCGAAAAAATATTTAGTTGACACCTACTTGGGAGTTGTTTATTTTCTGAGCATGTTTCTTAAAAATGCTAAACATTGCTTCTCCTCTCTTCTATCTTGACGCTATACTCTAGCAGTGTGTGATTGGCTTCCATTCAGATTCTTCAGTCTTTCAGTATTCACCTGTACTGTTTGAATACTTATATATTAGGTTCCTGCAGACTAGTCTTATATGTCTGTTTTGTTCATTGCTATGCAGAACCATCCACTCTTGGTAATCCTGTCCTCCGTTCTCCTGATATATCTGGAGTGAAAGGGCAACTAAGTCCAAGCACTGTAAGTGGACCTGATGCATTTTCGTTACACTTTGACATATCTGGTGGGGGAGAGGGTGTGAACTTTGTGACGGGGCTAATTTATTGGTTTATTTTCATTATATACGAATCACAGCAAGGAAAACTTATCAAGTCAATTGCTATTGCATGAATGTATGGTTCAGATTCAGTCTGGCAACATAAATCTGGCAAGAAAACATTTATAGCTGGATCTCACCTCCTCATTATCTCCTGGATGTGAGAGGAGGTCGCCTGACTTATGTATTGGCAGTCAACCAGCCCCATTTTTATGAACCATTTGATCTCTTGCATCATTGTCTTGGCATATAAGCAAATTACAGTTCCATAAGTTGAAAAAGTTGGGATTAGCACAACTTTCTCCTAATTTGTGTTCTTGAAGCAAATAATTGGTTGTTAATACTTGGTTTCATGGAAGCAAAATAAAACTCTTCTATGATGTCTTCACTCCCACCCCCGCCTAACTGAAATGCTTATAAACAATCTCTCTCTCTCTCTCTCTCTCTCTCTCTCTCTCTCTCTCTCTCTCTCTCTATTGTGATACTCTTTCTGCCTTTTAATGCTCTTGCAGAGATATGAAGTATACAACTCCAGGTTGAATTCCCAGGATTCATATTTACAGCAGGAAAATCCTAGCATCATGCATGGGTTTGATCTTCAGGAGAAGAAATCAAGCAAGCAATTGAGACAAAAGTCGACTTTTCTCAACAATACCAATCCTTTCCCTGGAAAAAATTCTCCCTTGGATATTTACGATAAACCTTCTGGAGGGATTTCTGCTTATAATAGCAATAAGAAAGATAGAATGAGATCTAAGGGTTACTACGGTAGGAAAGTTACTAGTGAACAAACAGAGCCTCGCTTAGATGAGTATGATAAATTTAGTAACCCCAAGACTGTCCAAAGGAATGATTACTTGAAGTCAAGGCCTTCAAGTTCTATAGTTAAGCATTCTGAGACTGCCTTTTGACTTATATGCTCTATTATTCAACGAATGTCATATCAAAAGTACTTGCCTTGTGACTTTTTTTAATTGCTTTTTGTTCCAGGAGGAGAAGTTTGATGGAGAATGTAAGGCCATGAAGGACTATCACAATCCGCTTAGAGCAAAAATGAATTCTACAGATGAATTGGTGGTGAGTTTGAACTTTAGTGGGACAATGTTAATAGGGCATGCCTGGCATTGATACATAATTGCATACAATTACTTATTTATGTATAGTGGTTGGCATTAGGTTGACATCCTTTTTTTCTTACTGATCAAAGGTTACAAAACAAGCCAGAGTTAATCTCCCTCAACGAGACTATGCACCAAATTCATTTGCTCAAATTCCACCTCGTAAACATCAGATTAAAGGGTTAGTATAGCTTAGGGGCATCCCTTCAATTGTGCACGTGTGCATTTTTCCTCTTTGATTTTGATCATCAATTTTTGCCTCTTAAAAAAACATGACTAATATATATATATATATATATACACATGTATTAGGGCTTTTTTCTCTCTATTGACTGCTTTAGTTAAGTCTGCAAATGCCACATTTTCCCCAGTCAGTTTAAATAATGTCTGCATGTTAAATGTTTGGCAGCGACCTTACATGTCAGAGCTAATATTGCAGATACGGTAGATGGCAAAATCTTTTCTAGGTTAGGCTGTTATTGTTTCCCGACTAGCATTAGAGTTCATACTGAATTGCTTCACTCTATTGTTTCAGTTACCGGGCCATTTCCTTTTACCAGGGTGACATGCTATTATTTTGTAGTAAATTGTATATGCTCTAAATAAGGATCTTACTTTGAAGAGGGATTCTTCGTCTTGTTGATTTCTGTATAACCTAAACTCAGATTACGGATGGTTGGAATGGCATTAGAATGAAGCTGTCGCTAGATGGAATCTTGATCGTCCACTTAATCGTAGTTTTTACACGAATTTAGCTGCATTTAGTTGCATGAAATAGGAACAGTACCCAAAGTTTAGGGCGTCACCCGTAAGTGGCGCGCTGTCAAAACCAAGCGCAATAGCGTTCTAGGATTCATATAGCCGACCCCACTTAGTGGGAAAAGGCTTTGTTGTTGTTGTTTTGAATATATCATTACGAGGATTAACTAAATGTTACTATGTCTGTGTTGTGATCATCAAGGATTAAACTTGTTGCAACATAAATATTTGACGGATGATCGTACATGTCTATTTCAGAATTGCCATGGAGATGCCATCTAGCTTCAGTGAGGATGAAACTGCAGAAACCAATTCTTCTGTGGATTGAGGTCCCCATAGTTGAAGGATGGAAGGCCGTAAGCGATTCACAAGGCCCTAGGGATGTACAGTTGAAGAGAACATGTATTCTATTTAAGCACTTGTCGTCGGAGGGAATCGGTTTTGGCCTTTCAGTGATCATTTGTTAATATGTGTAGAAAGTGGTTTTGTGTACTGCTTTAATTGTTACCGGTTTGTTTCGTGGAAGAAAGCTGATCAAACTCACATTACTTCTTTTTTGTTGGTTAAATGATGCCCTTGCTTTCAGCAACTATATTTGGCTTTGCTTTAATTGACGTGAACAGAGGGATTGTCACTTGTTAATTGTTTCCAGTTCACGCAACTTTTTGGGTAAAATTCCAAATTGGTTTCAACCTGTTATAACCAATGTTCTAAAAAGTGGCCTAGGCGGTGGAGAACCGATGCAATTTAGGCCGAAACGTGGAGAAAAATCGGGTACAGGCTAAAGGCCCTAGCCCGCCTAGGCACGCTAGGAGGAGGCTAGGTAGTTCCATTGTTTTTAATTTTTTTTAATTAGGTTAAAAGGTTTTTTTTAATAACCTACTTAATTAGTGAATTTTCAAATTTGGTTTTTAGTTTTTCTTACTTTTGTTGCATTTGTATGTGATGATTGCAATATGGCTTAAGTTTTAAGTTTTGACTTTCTTAAATTCTTAATAAAAGTATAGTTTTTATTCTTTTAGTGTAAGTAGCCACTTATTTATATGTTATATAATAAATTTAATTAAATCCGACTAGTCCGTCTAGGTCCCCATCCTAGGTCCCACCGTTAAGCCCCAGTCCGCTGCCCAATTAGCGGCTAGCATCTTTTAAAACCTTGGTTATAACATTCTAAATAATTGCCTAAAAATTAGACATTTAGTAGGCCAATAGCGGTAACATAAGTAATAAATACCCTAAATTGAAGTGAGTTTTCACTCTCCTGTCATTTATGAAGCTCTAATACATGTGTGTATTTTTTAAAACGTTAAATAGTTATTTGGAATATTTTGAACTTTTGAGATTCATTTGAAATATACCTAGAAATTAAGAGTGGTTATTCGTATTGTAGCAGTAGTAGTAGAGCCCCAAGCCCATCTTTTGACGTTTAAGATATATAGCTAGGCCCAAGCCCCAACCTTTTCAATGTGTACAATCCAATTTACCAAGTCATATTTGCATATGCTTAAACTGGTGAACGTGGGACAAAAGGACTTGTGTATTTTTTATTCAAACCTCCAACTCAACGTATTAAAATGGTGAAAGAAAGCAGCTTTTTAGTATTAATGATATTTTTTTCATTTGTAAGGGAGGTGTTTTATGTTTGAATTTCGTGGATGGTGAGCTTGATACTAATTTATTCCTTCACTTGTTAGTGTAATTATATTGTTGCATCAAGAAAATAGTATAAAAATGCAAGTGGTCATTTACCATAGTGGTGAAAAGGTATTGAGCACTTACAACTTGGGTTTAAACTCCGTCGTTAGCTAATCTAATATCTAATCTAACAAAATCTATCTTCTGACCAAAAAAAAAAAAGTATAAAAACAAAGTGGTGGATTTCGTTGGGTCGTTAGGATGGGAGATATATTATGCGATTCTAGTCATATGCTTCTTATTTGGGGCAGAGGCAGATGAACAATCAACGTAGTTGTAAAGGGGATGCTTTGCGTATAGCTGTGACATTGTGAGAACGTGGGATGTCTCTTCCTTAAGACTTATTTGTCATGCATTCCCCTCCTTTAGATTTGGCTGATGGCTCCTTCCAATTAACCTAATATTGTAGGGTACGTGTCACATCCCGGCCCGGGGTGGATCATTTTCCGGGCCCGCTCCACCCCCGTAGCACGATATTATCTGCTTTAGGCTTACCATTCCCTCACGGTTTTGTTTTTGGGAACTCACGAGCAATTTCTCAATGGATCACCCATCCTGGGAGTGTTCTGGCCTCCTTCTCACTTAACTTCGGAGTTCCTACGGAACCCGAAGCCAGTGAGCTCCCAAAAGGCCTCGTGCTAGGTAGGGATGAGAATATACATTTAAGGATCACTCCTCTGAGCGATGTGGGATGTCACAGTACGTAACTTCCATGATGAAGGCATAAAATCTAACAACTTTTTATTTGTTTTTTTGTAAATTTCACTATTCCAATGTTACAAAAGTTTCCAATGTAGTAGTGGAAAGTGATAAATTAATGAGAAAAATATTAATACATGAGAGGCGGAGGAGGAGTTTTTTTGTTTGAATGAAAAAACAAGAGCATTTTTCCTCATATTAAATTTGATATAGAATAAAAGTAGTATGAAGATATGCTTGATATTAGACACATATTTTCTTCACATAACACATGTATATATAATTGCAGTATGCAGCTTAACCAACGAATTACTTGATTGGGGTATTGCCCCCAGTGGGCATTCATTGGCTCCGTCCATGTCCATTGACATGATTTACAACCTCCCTACCCTTTTATCATCTTCAGTCGCCTTCTGCTGTGTTGAGGTATTGGAAGAAACAGTAAGTGGCGTACGTAGTTTACCAACAGTAAATAAGTTGCAATTAAGACTAGGAACAAGAAAAACACAAATGAAAGCTAGAGTCGGAGTAAAGGAGATAATGCCTCCACCCGCCACAGTGAAGGCACGCCATTGGCACTGGTGGTAATCTGAGGAGTATGAACCTAATCACTCAAGTCATATAATTCGTGGTGGTCAATTCTCCACGTCTTAGTCCAAGAAAAAGGCGTGGTAAAATTAACAACGATAACATAACAACGATATAACATCATAATACGCAGCGGGATTAAATAGAGCACTGTACCAACATAGTATATTTCTGAGTGTAATGCTCAGATGTCAAGTTAAAATGAAAATGGAGAGTTTCTGAGATGTTATTTTTCTTCAATGTACAAGAATATATAGGAATTTACAAGAGTACTTTACCAAGTAATTAGAGATCCAATAAGACGCCTAATTACAGCAGTGAGACTGAAAATGAAACAAAAGGCATTGCCCTAATTAAAAATATTAATAAAGATCTCCACTGGCTCCATTGCTTCTTCCTTCTTAAAACGGTAGGATTAGGGTAAGTGGTGGATTGCCCTAATGGTTATAAGATCTTCCTCTTTAACGTACTATGTCCTAAGTTTGAAACTTCTCCCTCCTCTTTAGTGTAGATTAGTGTAGAATATCGCTTGTACTGAAAAATAACAAGATTAGAAATGATGAATTTCCTTCGCAACTAATCCTCTTCTAATCCTTCCAAATGAAAAACATTCACTTCCCCTTTCAATATGCCTTGAAATATGACAGCTTTATTCTAATTCAACCATGTGTACCAAATGTGCTTTCAAGGGTTTAGCTTTGGAGCTTCCAGGGTGTATTAAGCATATTAACGTATTTACAATGTATCACTGCAATCCGTGTTCGCGTGTTGCCCTTTCATATTGGTGTCAACTACTAGATAACCATATATGGCTTTTCGAGGAGAGTTTTTTTAGTGTGACCGTAACATGGGATGATACACTACCTGTCATCATACAAACGGTGGGATATGTGTGTTAAAAAATTAAAAAATAAAATTTCTCACTACTTATATAAAAACACGTGGTATACTATTCGTATTCCGGTCACAATGAAAAATTCTTCCCTACAAACTATTGTTTATATAACTATATTAATTAAGGACTCATTTTGAACTGCTTTAAAAAAGCGTTTATGCTTAGAAGCATTTCTATTATAAACCCTTCTAAAGCACATTGAAATTATTAACAAAAATACTTGCATTCTAGAAAAGCACTTGAAGCACTTTCTAAAAGTAACACACAATAAGTGATTTTTTGAAAAAATAAAAAAATAAAAAAAGCACTTCAAATGCTTTTTTGAACCTAGAAGAACTTGTGCCAAATATGATTACAAGTGTTTTTGGCGATTCGAAAACAGTTCAGTTATTTGAGTAAACATGACAAACACTGTAGACAACATGAACTTTGTAAGCTTAATATATATCCTGTGCTACATCGTCTGTAACTTCATGCAAATGCTAGCTGGCCTCAGTTATCCGATCCATTGCTATTTTTCACATTTCTCCATTTGGCAGAATCATTAACCTGAACTCTACAATCTATATAATTGCACAAACAAAGCTCGTTCTTTTTTTTCTTGGACCACTTATAGCTTTAGCCTCACAGATCGTCAAAAAGTTGAAAGGCATGACGAACTACATGCTTTAGAACACCGACAGAACGAGGGATGCCTCACCCACGTTGGTAAAACATTGACTTGTGCTAACCTAGCAATTCTTTTTTGTTGGGCAATAGTACTTAGTTAGGGTTTATGTGGTAAGGAATGTTAGATCATGGATAGATAAGAACACCGTCGATCCCACTGAGACTAGAAAAGGTTTGGAGTTTGGACCACTGCCAGGAAGAAAGTATAACCCGCTTTTTGTAAAAAGTGAACCTTTGAAGAAAGTTAAAGTTGAGTTTCACTATAAATCAATTGACAATATGAAGAATAGCATAACTATTTATATTCACATCCAAGGTCATTCTCATCAATAAGGGATTTATTATCAACATGCCCCCTCAAGCATAACGAATTTTCAAGCCTAACACGTAGACAACACAATGGAGTGATATGGAGCACGTGTGGCCGTTGAACTTCACATGTGAGACAACCTGCTTTGATACCTTAAAGAAAATTGGGGTTTCACCATAAAACAATTGACAATATGAGGAGTAGTCCAAATACTTATAAGCATACGCAAGATCCCTCTTCTTATCAATATGAAATTCATTATCAACAACTTTCCCGTGTTGTTGGTGTCAACCAATGGAAAAGCCAACTGCTCTTGTCAAGAGCATCATGCAGGAATGTTTATTAAGGACACATGCATGGTTATAATTTAAGGAAAACTAATGAAAATGGCTTGAAAACTTTGAGTTTTAATGATAAGGACAAAATAAAGGGTAAAGTGAATAGTACCAGGATTGACTTTTTAGTGTAAAAATGTGGTTTTTCATTAAAGTGAACAGTATCGGGTGCTTTTCGTTAAAGTTCCCTATTTACCCATAAACAAGTAATAGCGTCTAGCAAACTTCATTTTTTTTTGGCTGTTTTAAAGTCCCTAGTTAATCATGTATCCCTATTGCTAAATATGTATCTGACATGCATGCCATTTTGAAAACTATTAATATCTCTCAACATCATATAGAATTCACTTAACGAGGCGTCCAACTTGATTGTTAGACAACATAGCGGCATGAGATTGTACTTTGAACAAAATATTTTATTTATTTATAATATTGTAAAGTAGGTA